CAGAAAGTGCTATTAACCACTGAGCCATCTCTCCATCCCCCTAAATCTGAATTTGTAATGAGTAAGCTGTTAAGGCACTCTATGATGCCTATAGCTAGAGGGCGGTAAAGGAGGTGCAAGTTCTGTTAACATCTCCTTGGACAGCCCATCATTATATGTTTTGTTGAATAAATTATGTGCCTTCATCAGTATCAGTAACATTGAAACTTCAAAGGAATAAGTGTTTTGGTGAGACCTCACACTGAACGCACAGACCATGTGATCTCAATTTATCTTTTAGGTATCAGTGAAGCAAGGTTATCAAAGTTCTTTACCCTAAAGAGCATGGCCTTGGATAAGAAATTGTTGCTAGTCAGGTAGGTTGGTTATACCTGTAATCCTAGTACTCAGGAGGCTTGCACATGTGAGGCCTCCATGGTACACAGTGGATTCAAGGCATGCTTGGACAACTTAGCAAAATCCTATGTCAAACAAAACAGTCTTAAAAAAAGAAAACGAGGGCTGGAGAGATGGCTCAGTGGTTAAGAACACTATTCTTGCAGAAGAGCCAGGTTCAAATCCCAGCACCCACATGGCAGCTAACAGCTGTCCACAACTCCAGTTCCAGGGGATCCAACAGTCTCTTCTGTCCTCCACAGGCATTGAACAACATGAGTGCACTTACCTACATGCAGACAATACACACATACACATAAAATAAAAATAATAAAATATTTTGAAAGAAAGAAAGAAAGAAAGAAAGGCTGGAAATGTAACTCAATAGCTTTCCTGGCTTACATTCAGTTCTCAGTACTATAAAAAAACAGAAAAGAAGACAGTGGAGAGTGCAGGAAGGGATGGGAAAGGTGAGGAGAGGGGAAAGGAGGAGGGAGGAGGGAGGAGGGCAGGAGAGGAAAGGAGATTGTTGCTGGCACTGGCACTAGCTTGACCAGGTGGCCAGACCATCGACAATAAGGAACCCAAGAGTCTCTGGCCAGGGTTTTAGGGATGAACCAATGTGATGAGCTTCTGATTCTATTTTGTTGTTGTTGTTGTTTAACTTTTACAAAAACTTTATTGATAATTTCATACATGCATATAAGGTGTTTTGATCAAATCCATGCCTACTTCCTCCCCTCCAACATTCCCCCCTCTGAAGAGGTAACCCTAAATCTTTTAAGAATTAGATACAAGCTCCCAAACACTTTTGACATTTTTGGCCTTTGGAACAGAGTATATTACTAAGAGGCCCAAGGACATTTTGACTTTTAGGCAAGAAACTGGCTACTTTTCGTTGGGGTCTTTTTATACTAACTGCCTAGTCAATTCCTACCTTGTATTCCTATCACACCATCCTCTGAAGAGGTTACCCAGCTTACCGATAGGGAATCGGGAAGCAGACCGCTCTGGCTTCTTCCATGCTGAATAGGGGCACAGGGTGAGGTAATTGGGGGTACCCCTTCAGTGTGTTTATCTAAAAGACTCCCAAATTGCATAACTCTTATCTGTAGGAAGTAAAGGCAAGAGTAATTACCATTACACGTTCTAGACAGGGGAGCTGGAAAAAAGTCAGAACAGGGCAATTTTCAAACGTTCATATGAGAGTCCATTGGAATTTCTTGACAAGGGCTTCCAAAAGCATTTCTTTATTGGATTCTTCCTCATTTTTCTTTTGTCTTCCAAGGTGGACTAGTTGGCTGGGAAGAGTGGCTGGATACTCAGGTGAGGGTCCAGCGACCCTGCTTGGCACTCCTTTAATGAATGAGCACAACCGTCAACAAGCCCAATTGTGACTATGTTTGGTGCTCAGGCTTAGCCGAAGTCGTTATTTCATGCAGAAGGGACTGCTGTATAGCATCATCTTATTAAAAGGACCTGGAATTTAAAAGGATTTGGTGTTAGGAGCCACATGTGAGGGAGAACATGCGTCATTTGCTTTTCTGAGTCTGTGTTACTTCACTTAGTATAACAGTTTCTAGATCCATCCATTTCCCTGCAAATTTCATTATTTCATCTTTCTTTACTGCTGTATAGAACTCCATTGTGTAAATATACCACATTCTTGTTAACCACTCATCAGGGATTCTTTGATTAGACTCAGTAAGGGGTTGAATACCAGTAACCCTCCAGCAAGCTCCATCTTGTGTAATGCTGGTCATGTTATCATAAAACATTCAAACTCCCATTGTTGTTTTCACCCTTTGATCTCCAGGGGTGCCCACATAGCCCAGGGAGCCTAAGAGAAGTGACTTCTTCCAGCTTAATGGTATATGGCAAAGGTTGGGACATTAGGACCCAGGGCTACTTGAAAGACGACCTCGAACACATTCTTCAGGTCCTACACACCAGTTCTTCAGACAATTTAGGCTTATATCCATTGCAGAGTCTCCATAGGACTCCACAAATTCAGCAAACAGCAGAGATCAAAGTGTCAGCTCCCCACAGGCAGTGGACAGTTCACAGAGCAGTCCCCAGCAGGGAGCAGAACAAATTGCATGTTGTTCCTCAGCAAACAAAGAAGCCAGCTATCAAGTCAAAGCAAGAGAAGGAGGACTCTTGGCTGTGGCTACTCTGCTTGGTGTGCCAATTGTTAGGCACATCCTCCTCCCTTGGGTGGTTACATAGCTATTTATGTAGAAGTTAGGTTTATTTATTTTATTTATTATTCTTATTTTATGTGAATGTTTTGTCTGTATGTAAGTGCACTGGTTTTAGTCAATGCCTGCAGAGGCCAGAAGAGGGCGTTAAATCCCACTGGAACTGGAGTTATGAATGGTTGTTAGCCATCATGTGGGTGCTGAAAACTGAACCCAGGTCTTCTGCAAGAGAAGCCAGTGCTCTTAACTGCTGAACCATCTCTCTAGCCCCCTTAGAAATTTTAAGATTCTGTATAAATCATCTCTAAGTCCCATCTTTTACATACCTAGGAAACCTACTCAGATTTTTATCACTTGCATAGACTTTTCAGGTTTTTTTTCCATTTTAGAAACATCTAGCTATTTTAATCTTCATACACAAATCCTTCTTTTATTAAAAACATTTCCAGCCAGGCTTGGTGGCACACACCTTTGATCCCAGCACTCTGGAGGCAGAGGCAGAAGGATCTCTGTGAGATCAAGACCAGCCTGATCTACATAGTGAGTTCCATGCTAGCTGTGGCTGCAGGGAGACCCTGTTCAAAAAACACAAAAACAAATAAACAAACAAAAAGCCCCCCAAACAAACAAAAAGCATTTCCATTTTTAATATCCTTTTACCATTTCCTCTTATTTATTATCTTTATACCATAAGACATAATAACACCAATTAATAAATTTACCATCTGTTGTGAGTTTTTTTCTGGGTTCTTCAGCAATGTTTAACCCCTTTTCATAAGGTTTTAGTGACAAATTGATGTATGAGTCTATTCAAATTCATCACGAGGAACCAGTAAGTTTATTGAGCTTACTTACAGAGCATGAATGAGGGGTTACTGACAAGAGTGTGGATGACAAAAACATTCACATTAGAATGTCTTTATCCAGTACGGATGATGACTTTTCCAAAGCCTCGTGGGTGGAGTCTCCTTTCCCTAGCCTTTCCCAACATATGCACTCCAGTTCTTCCCGAAGCCCATGAGGCCACATGCAATTAGGGACAATCACAGATAACTGACTGGCAGGAGTGGCTGTATAGTTGGGGAAGGGTCCCATGACCCTGCCTACCCCTCCTTTTATGAAGGAACATCTACAGTCAAGAAGCCCAATTATGATTATCTTTTGCAAATGGGCACAGCTGAAGTCATGAAGATGGCAGTTGTTTGGCTCAGAACATAGTACTGTGCAACATCATCTTATTTAAAGAATTATATACATGGAACATTGTATTACATTGAGAATACTTGACATATATTTTTAACTATTGAGCTTTTAGTTGTAAGTTCCAAGCAAACAGTTCCAATTGGACTTTCACTTTGTGTGTGTGTGTGTGTGTGTGTGTGTGTGTGGTCTCATAATATCTGAATTAGAAGAAAGTTTACATTTTTAGTAGAAACCTTGGCAGTATTTTCAAAATAACCTTGGAGCCAGGGAATACTCCCCATAAACTAGAAAGGCAGAAGCCAGGCTTTTCATGTTAGCCCTGCAGTGGCAGATCTGGATGACAGGAGACATTAAAAGAGCTCCTGACTCCTCTAATCCTCATCAGTTTCCAGTTGCAGTTTCCAATTTTTTTTTCTTTGAGTTATTTTCTCAGGAGAAAAGTGTCAACCAACTTTGAAACAGAAAATAACTCTGGTTTCCCACCAATGGTTAAATGTCAGACCTCCTCCTCTGACTTGAGTTTTAAAGCCCTTTGTGTAAACCTTCCATATATCCCTGACACCTTTTTCACAGCTTCTATCACCAACAATTGTCCTTCAACTTTTTGCCTAGTGAATTGAGAGGGAAGGCATAAGGACACCAAAAACGTATTACTTATATAAAAAATAGTTCCCAGATAAATCTTATGGAAAACATAAGGCAGTTAAAAAAATCCTCCTCCCCCTTTCTTCTTTGCTTTATACAATACAGACAGTGGTCTGCCAAAATTATGCTTTGGGTCTTGAATCAGTGCAGGTAGCAGACAGAAGCAGCCCATACACAGCAAAGTGTCAAGAAATTGATGCTTACAACAACCAGCAGAAACCAACTATGGAAACCCTGTTAAAATTGTGATGTTGGGGTTACTGACTAAGAATGTTTTTCTTTAATCTATCTTGCTGGTTACTCATTAAATAGTTAAATAAATCTTGGTACTCATTATATATACATATGCATTCATCTGTGTTACTTTCCATGTCACTGTAACAAAACAGAGCATCTCATTAGATACTTTTCCTATAGATATTTTTATATCATGAGATAAATTATAACATCTTTTGTTGGAAATAGCCCTTTGGCTGTTCTTAAGGATATAACGCCTTGAAACTTCCCAGTTAGCTAAGAGAGATAGAGAAGGTGTATAATGCTGCTCAAGGTGAAACAGAAAGAATAGAAATTCCTTTTATTTTGAGTCTCTGTTTTTGTGTTCATTTTTGTAATCTGCAGGTCTTAATCAAGGAAGCATGCATGATGCACTCGAGTTGAAATCTGGGTACTGGGATTACATGCACCACTACACTGGGTGAATTTATTTTTTTTCTTTTTTGACAGTGTTGCCCTGGTCCCAGCTCACCTGGAACTCACTATGTAGACCAGGCTGGCCTAGATCCCACAGAGATCTGCCTACCTCTGCTTCCCAAGGATTGGGATTAAAGGCACATGCCACCATGCCTGACATGAATATTGCTTTGGGATTTTCTGTTTTTGTTGGTTTTTTTTTTTTTTTTTTTTTTTTTTTTTTTTGTCCAAGAGGGACATTAATTTAACTTCTCAGAATAAATCATGTATTCGTCTTTTTGAGACAGGGTCTCATTGTAGTCCCAGCTGCCCTGGAACTCACTATATAGACCAGGCTGGCCTCGAACTTACAAAGGTCCGCTTGCCTCTGCCTCCCAAGTGTTGGGATTAAAGGTGTGTGCCACCACGCCTAGCTATGAATATTGTTTTTAAGAGGGTTGTCACACTGTCTGAATCAGAAACTAAATCACATTATAATTTACCATAGATAAGTTTGAATTAAGTACTTGTAACCTAGGGAAAAAAGATCACAGAAAACAAGACCACCTAAAAGAGTTTGGAAAGAGAGGATATCAGAATGCTCAAAGGAATCTGGAGGATGGAAAGGATTTTCTTTGGATGTTGTAGCTGCCCTCTAACTGTTGTAGCAGTTTGCCTAGCACCTAGCAATCTGTCTTCTGTGTCAGGGTTGAGATACAGAAAACACAGCTTTTCCAAATTTGACTCTGAGGCAATGCAAATTCATACGATCTTCCTAGGTCTAGTCACCTCATAGTACTAGCTCTCTTTGGCAAGCTGGCTAACGTTCGAGGCACGTGGCTGGAGAAACCCTAAACTTCCTTTAGACACCAGTAAATTCATCAGGCAAAACAATGTCAAAATCCAAAATAAAACACCATGGAGGTCTCACATTATCTCCTTAGTCTGACATAAAAATGCATTGTCCTTATTGCATGGTAATAGAGCCCATATTGGAGTCTCCTCTAAGTCTCTCATTTCTATAATTCCAAGAATCCAAGAAAGAAGCTAGAGAGATGGTTCAGTGGTTAAGAGCACTGGTTGCTCTTGCAGAGGACTTGGGTTCAATTCCCAGCACCCACATGGCGGTTAACAACCTTTCATAGCTCCAGTTCCAGGAGATCTAGCTTCTCCCGCTGACATTGTATGACACAGGTGCACTCGCACACATGCAGACTGTCGGGAGCTGGAGAAACAACAATCATTACCAAAAAATATAATATAGCTCTACAAACAGTTGACTTAAGCAGGAAATTCTGCCTGTACTAGTAACCTTGAGAAAGAATTTATGGCAAGGTTATCTTTCTCTTCCTCTTGCAAACAGTTCTCGGAAAGATAAGTCATGCAGTAATCTCTTGGAACACCTGGTGGTCAGTCACATTGCTGAATTGCTCAGTCCCTCTCCCATATCCATAAGAATGCTGTAACCTTTGACCAACTTCTTCAACCCCTTCTAAATACAAACTGTATATAAGGAAAGCTTGCAGTTCAATAAAGCGAACCCTTGACAAGTGGACTTGCTTGGGCTCCGTCTCCTCTTTCTCGCCTGTTTTTCTTTTCAGGGAGTGGTCCCCCTCGAGCTTTACCTGTACAGGGTCCCCGCAGGTGCGGGCAAGTGGTGCCTAAACATGGGGCTCGAGGTACGGATCCTCGCCATACAGAGACGGTTGAAAACAGACCCGGGTACGTGTTTGAGGACGGCCTCCGACAAAGTGAAAG